CAAAGTGGAATACAGCCATCATGTATACTTGGGAACAATGCCACTGAACTGGAATGCTTTCAGTTTTTCTATGATGAACCCCTGATGGACATCATTGTCAGGGAAAGCAATACATACTTTGAGTACACCATGGCAAACAGTTCTTTCACCAAAGTAAGTTCACCAAAGTAACTTACTTACAAAGTCATGGCTACACCAGTGGAAGGACACAACTGTAGCAGAGAAGTATCTGTTTTTTTTGCCACAATAATGCTGATGCCACATGTGTATAAGCACAGTGTCAACACATACTGGTCGACAGATGGCTGATTTCAACCCTAGCTTTCGGTGACGTTATACCAGTGAATCGATTTGTGCTACTGTTACGTATGCTACACTTCTGAGAAAAAACAAGACCTGACAGAAGCGACCGGTTATATAAGATCAGGAATGTGTTTATGTACCTGAAACAAAAGTGTTGTATGTATTTTTATCCCTTCAGGAAGCTTGTTATTGATGAGTCTTTGATTTTGTTCAAAGGCAGACTGTCGTTCAAGCAGTATGTACTCTGTGATTGCAAAAGTGGTCTGGTTTTGGATATAATTGTGTACACTGTTAGTAATACATTGCAAGATACCAGGAAGTTACTGGGTATCTCTGGTGATGTGGTTAGAGCAATGATGGAACCATATCTTGGTAAGGGGCATATTTTATATGCTGATAACTGGTACACAAGCCCTTTACTCACTGATTTCTTGCGAATGAACATGACAGACGTGTGTGGCACAGTGCGTGGAAATCGTAGACATATGCCTAGGTTCGACACAGGCACATGTAGAGGTGAAGTTCAGGTGTTTGCTGCCAATGACATCATGGCATTTCGGATGCATGACAAACGTGATGTCACAATGTTGACATCAGTTCACCAACACGAAATGGTAGACACTGGCAAGCAGAATAGAGAGACCAATGCACCCATTGTAAAACCTACAGCTGTGATGGATTACAACCTCAGTATGCGTTTAGTGGACAAATGTGACATGCATATTGGGTTTGCTGATTGTGGTTGCAAGAGTTATAAGTGGTACATAAAACTCTTTTTCCATCTTCTTGACATTTCCATGCTGAATGCTTATAATATGTATAAGTTGAAGACCAACAACAAACCCAAATATGGTGAATTTTGTTTGTCAGTTATCAGACAAATAATATTCAAATACCAAGGAACAACACTTGCAATAGACCAGCGCCCACAAAATTATCAACATATGCCCTCTCGTCTGAGGCCTGGTGATCACTACCCCATACCACAGCCTCCTACTACTTTCAAGAAAAATGCTCAGAAGTAGTGTTATGTCTGTACACATACCACAAAATGCCCACAAAAACGCAGAGACACCCATTTTATGTGTGAGGAGTGTAAAACACCATTGTGCATACACCCATGTTTCAAAGAATTCCACAAGCTGCAGCAGTTCTAGGAAAGTGTTCTAGTGTGGTCTAGTGGTCTAGTGGCTAGGATACGCGGCTTTCACCCGCGAGGTCCGGGTTCGATTCCCGGCACGGGAATACTTTTAAGGTGGCCCAGTGGTCTGGTGGCTAAAGCTCCCGCTTCACACACGGAGGGCCCGGGTTCGATTCCCGGCGGGTGGAAATTCCGACATGTTTCCTTACACCTATTGTCCTGTTCACCTAGCAGCAAATAGGTACCTGGGTGTTAGTCGACTGGTGTGGGTCGCATCCTGGGGGACAAGATTAAGGACCCCAATGGAAATAAGTTAGACAGTCCTCGATGACGCACTGACTTTCTTGGGTTATCCTGGGTGGCTAACCCTCCGGGGTTAAAAATCCGAACGAAATCTTATCTTATCTTATATGTAGTAGAGTAGGACCCCACTTATACGGCGGGTTAGGTTCCAGGCTGTCGCCGGAAAGCAGACATCGCTGGAAGACAGAACTCCATTTTTTTCCATTTATAAATGCATATAAATGCCAGACAACAAGTTTACACTAAATTATATTAAGATAGTAATAGAACTAGGCATTAAAAACACACAAAGTAAGATAGTCACAGTAAATTCATTACTTATCTTAAAGTACAGTGGAACCTCAAAAATCGAACTGCTTCCAACACGACCAATTATGTAAATGTATTTTTGTAAGCGCTTTTATAAGTGTATTTTTGAGGGTCTGAAATGGACTAATCTAATTTACATTATTCCTGATGGGAATAAATTCATTCGGTAAAGGCACTCGAACAGCCTTCTGGACCGAAGAAAGTTTGATATTTGAGGTTCCACTGTATTTGTAATCTTAATGTAGGGAGAGAGGTGAGTAGTACTTATTTGTAGGAAGTCAGGTGCAGGTAGCCCAGGTGTAGGTAGCACTGGCTCCCCATCTCATACTTAATATATGATATTTAAAACATCCCAGAGAGGTAAAATGTACATACAGTACACTCATTATTTACCTTAAAATATATGTAGTCTTAATATAGGAAGAGAGGTGAGTAGTATTTATTTGTATAAAGTCAGTGTAGGTAGCCAGTAGGTGTAGCCTGGGCTACACCTACCGGCTACCTACACTGTGGTCCAGAGCCATATTATTAACATCGACATGCCTTGTTCACTGAATTTAATCATCTCTAACAACTACCTTTAGATGCCATCATAAACGAAGGTAGAAGTAATGAATAATTCATGCCGAAAATTGAAAACAAAAGCGGAGTGGGGGAAGTGGCTGGGCCAAACGCAGATTCATGCACGCTTTCTCTGATGGCTGAACAGAGAAAACGTAATGTTGTCCCTCCACCCGGCTCCACAAGTATTATTATCAGGGCATAAAAATATGCAAATAAATGCCAGACAACAAGTTTACACTAACTTATATTAAGTTAGCAATAGAAATAGGCATTAAAAACACAATAAAAGGGTAAGATACACACAGAGTAAAATTATTACTTACCTTAAAATATTAATATTAATGTGTGAGAGGTGAGTGGCGGGGTTTGTTTATTGAATAAAATCAGAATGGCACCCATATCCTCTAACTTGGCACTTAAAGCAAGAGGCTTACGACTTCTCTTTTTATTACAGCTAACCTAGACCCCATCGTCAATGGGGCCAACTAGTTAACGAAAGAGTAAACGAGAGAGAGAACGAGATACAGAGTTGAGACAATGTAAGAACACAAACTAAAACAGGTAGTGGACGATCATTTGGGTTTTAGGCGAAAATAAATGCGTATTAATATGTGTCTACTTTTAGTTCATTCACGTCCATTTGTAAGAGTTTGTAAAACATTTACCTCAATATCTTTTTATTTTAATAATTACCTCACAATACCAAATACTCTTTTCATTTGTGTACAAGTTGTACAAGTTAGTTCAGAATAAACAAACAGCAACACACCATTTTTAGAGTGAATGAAGATAATAATAATAATAATAATAATAATAATATTATTAATAATAATATTAATAATAATTTAAAAATAAATTTTTATTATTATTTATTATAAAAAGCACTAAACCCACAAGGGTCGTGAATTGCTATACATAGAGTAAAGGCATACGAAAAGTATTTTTCTACAGTTACCCCCCAGTGTTTGACTAGAGAAAACGTAATTCTTCCGACACCACCTACACAGCTGCTATGTTGCTGAAGACCAAGTGACGCCTGCTGATGAAGATGAGAAGCGAGATGACACTCCCCTCCTGGGAGTCGCCGCAAGAGAGATGATGTTACCCTCCAGCCGGAGGGCCCAAGAAAGATGATGAACGACACCCCCAACCGGGGGCCACAGCCGGGTCACCATATGGAGAAGACCCGGGCCGGAAGTACCGGCGAACCTCTAATGAATGAATAATGAGCTGCTTTGTAAACAAATCTCATATTTACATCAATTTTTATTCTGAGTGTATATATCATGTTTATATGCTATGTTATGGGTTTCATATATAATTTTGAGTAAAATATCATAGATGGATTAATGAAAATACCTATATTGATGTAAAATAAGACATTTAGTGTGCCCAAGAGTGATTATTATTACGTAGTATTGGCGTCATGAGTAGAGAGATTATTATAATAAAAAAAAGAAGCGCTAAGCCACAAGGGCTATACAGATGAGTAGAGAGAGACTTAGCGATTTTAATGTGTACCTGCACACCAGCACAGTGTGTATCTTTAGGTACAGGTACACACAAGTATAATTATCAGAGTATACATATAAAATATGCAGTAACTTTAAAACACTTGAAATTTTGGAAAGTTTCCTGACATAATAGATGTGGTCACGGAAAATGTAAACAAACCGGGTGGGGGGCGCCGTATTTAAAAGACAGCTTGCCGTATAGCAAATTTTGGTCATAATTTGACATCACCGTATTAGCGGAACGCCGTAAGGCGAAACGCCGTAAAGCAGGGCCTTACTGTATATATATATTATAGAACAACAGTAATAAAAAAAATTTTATATTTGTGTAAACAAATTTTGTAAACATTATGATACTAGTGTTTTTCTATAATTGTGTCACATTCAACGAATGTATATATGAACATTGCACTATACTTTGGTCTCACAGGCCACATAAATTATGTGAAAAATAAAACAGTGAAAAAAAAACAAGAAATCTTCAAATGCAAGTAAACCGAAGTTTACTGGGTGAGCGGCATTCGCTGCTGTTGCCATATGCAGTTCATTTTTTTTTTTTGCCAGTTTTATGCCTCTATATCTGGGTAAGTACTGATCACAATTTTTTTTTTTTTTTTTTTTTTTGGGGGGGGGGGGCTTAAAACAATCAGAAAATTAATCTTAACTTTTTTTGTGTGTGTGTGTGCGCGCGTGCGCGTGTGTGAAAATTCTTCAACACCAGGAGAGACTTCAGGATTTGGGATTGTGACAGTCAAAGGGTTAAAGGTTAAAAAGAAAATAATGTAACTAAAGCAAAGATCAGTCATTTGATAACAAAATATTGTATCTAGTTAGATAATTTGTAAAATAATGAGCATTGTTTTCAGTGTTGATGATGGTGTGGATGATGGTGGAGAATCAACAGAAAACACAAATGATGCTACTGATGGTAAAATTCAAGGTACATCCAAATCTGCAGAGCAGATTAGCAAATCTGATGATCCATTGTCTACTTCCTCAAGCACAGCAACAGCTCAGCCTCCAGTATCGCCAGACACACTTGCAAAGAAAACAGGTAAGTGAGGATGTGATTTTACTGCCACCAGCTCCATTGTGGTTTTGTTTTTGGCAATTTTTTTTTTCCCCTTCTTCAATTTAGAAGTGAATCTTTCTTATAGCTGTCATCAAATTGGGTGCAGTTGGTAATGGGTTTAATTGCTCTGCTTAGAAGTAAGATTCTAGTAATCAGTATCTTGCAAGCCAGAAAATATTAATTCTTCACTTGTGTTAGTGCAGTAGCTGAAGTCTGTCCTTTTCATATCATATGTGATCCATTATTGCATGGGGATAGCACTCTGTCATAAAGAAGGGGTGGGGATGTGTTAGTTTTGAGTTCATTAGGGAAGCAGTGTGATGAGGCCTGCACAGAGAATAGCAGGAGCAGTTCTGCCCAGTGGGCTGCAACACATACCCTGAAATTCTAGAGCTCTCCAAGCTACTGAGGATGCTCATTTTAATATCACATTGTCATACTTCCATTAAAAATATAGAAACCACTTAAATATACATATAATGCATTGAAATTTGGCACTATGAACTGACCACCTCCATAAGCTGCTGTAAGTAATGCACTTAGCTCTAAAAACATGATCATACCCTTGGCTTGCTGCATGGCAGGGGTTAAAGTGTGTATTTAGCCTCTTCACAATGGGGGTTCTAAAGCTTGCACTATGCACTCTTTTTTTTTTTCTTTTTTTTTTTCTTTTTTTTTTTTAAAGAAAATATTCCACCCACATTTCACCACTAGCACCCTTCCTCCACATGTAGCTCAGTTAAAGTTAATCTTTTTTATCACTGCCTTCTTAATACATAATTTCATCATTCTTATTTCATAAACTAGAGTGCCTCAACACATCCTTCATAGCTTCTCTCTAATGGTTAAAATATGCTTTTTTTCTATATAACAGACAGAATCCTAAAACCTCTGAGTTTGACAGGAAGTTCTTGCATGGTAGTGTCTGTAACGGCAATATTTTTTCCTTATGCAGTCTCATCTTAAATCATGAACACCTGTCAAGTAAATTATTATGAAGGCAGTGACTAGGTAGAGGTGGTGGTGCAAGTGGTGATGGTGAGTGGTGCTGAATGGTGATGGTTGTTGTTGGGTAATGACAGCAGAGGCGGGCGGGGCAAGCAGCAGCAGTAGCGGCCCAGGTGGCCCCTCCCCCTCGGCCGGCCGGAGCCCCGCCTCTGGCCGCCGTCTACAGGAGGTCCAGATCATCCAGATCGTGGAGGGCACGACGCTCATCCAGCCTTCCGAGGTGAAGGTTTCTCAGGGAGTGGTCCTCTCTGCAGAGCCTGTCCTCACTCCCATAGGTAAACCCTCGTTGTTACTATATCTTCAATGTTTTGGGTTGCTAAGAAACCACTAAGACATGCGAGATGTGAGATTAGTGTTCTTAGGATTTAGTGATACTGTATTTACTTGTGTATAGCTGAAAAAAAAAAAACGTATATTTTATTAAAATAATATTGTGTAGTTATAGCTTGCTGCCATTTCTGTAGACTGCTGGAGGGGGGTTCCCATGAACCACACACCATGCACTTTTTTTTTTCACCAGAAGCAACCTTTAATGAGCAACCCCTTCATTGGAAGATGTGTTATATATTAATCATTAATGCCTGAAGTTCCTAAATCAGTTGTCCAGTTGCAAAAGGATGCTTCATAATACGGTTTTCTTGCTATTACCATATATTATTGGCCAGAAGTCTACCTGATCTATGAGTCAAGGGGTATACTTCTTTTTTTATAAAAGTCATGTTTTTTTTTTTTTGTTTTTGTTTTTTTTCACATAGTCCTACCCTCAATTTGAGTTGGCTTTTGGGGAAACGAAATTTGTTAGGAATTGTTTCCTACCTAATTTAAACAAAATTCCACAAATACTTGCTATATTAATACTGCATATAGGAATATTAGCAAACTTGTAGGAGTCAAGCATTTGTGTGTGCAATCAGTACAGAATACCAGCAGCAAAAGAGTCTAATTTTATATTACAGATTTACTATACAATCATTCAGTGGCTTTGCACTGCCAGGAATCCATCAGAGAAAATATTAAGTCTCCAAGATAATATAATAAACCTCTGAGTGGGTCCTTATAGGATAAAGGCCTGTGCCAGGACAGATGTATATTCTTTCTTTCAACACACTGGCCGTATATGGGTGGCAAAAAATGTCTGTTTACATTAACCACAGCACAAGCATCACACCTGCTGGATGTTCAGGCCTTCATCACTTAGAACATCCTTTCACCCCTCCCTCCAACTCTTCCTTCCCACCACCCTGGATTTATATACGTCTTTCTCATCCTCTTCTGCTTCATCCTTTCTAAATTGCTAAAGGACATCATTTCCTTGGTCTTTCTTATATTTACTTTTAATTTTCATCATTTACATTCTTTCCTTTGTAGATTTTCTTCAGAATCTCCCCCCAAAAAATTGTCATCTGCAGAAAGTAACTGTGACAACTCTCACTGTGCTTTAGAGCTTTAGATTCATTATCTTTTAATCCCCCACCTCTACCCAACACCCTAGTGTTCACTTTTTTCACACCCCCATCTATAAGTATGTTAAGGAACCATTGTAGACATCACGTATCCCTGTCTAAGAGCTACCTTTGATGGAAAATAATTACCCCTTTCCTACATACTTTCACATAAGCCTAACTATCCACATAATTCTTTACTGCTTTTAGTAGCCTACTACCTATTTCAAACTTCTGCCACATTACTTCCCTATCCACTCTATCATATGCCTTTTGTAAATCCATAAATTCAACAAAAAGTTTTGTACCTATGTCTAAAAATTGTTCATTTACATGCTTCATTGTAAATACTTGCTCTGTAACATATATCCTATATTAACTAAAATGTCCTTATTCCTCTGCAATCCTACTCTCTGCCTTACTCTTAATTCTTTCAATAATAACTCTAATGTACACTTTACTGGGTATAAGCAACAGGCTTATTTCCCTATAATTTTTACACAGAATTTTATTCTTCTTTCCCCCTTATACAAAGAATCATACATGCTCCTTGCCAATCCCTATATACTATTCCCCCTACCTCAACCAGTTCCTTTGTCCTCCAATGTCATTAGATTTAATTCTGTTAGCCTTTTCTCATTGCTCAGGCACTGTAACATAGGAACAAGCCTTGTTGCATACTTCAGTACTTTCTCCAGTTTCTTAATTTATGTACATAAGTACGTGTGCTTTCGTGCATATGTACGTATTACATACACATTAGACGGTAGTGTTCATTATACGTAAGAGTGGGTGAGTGGGCATACAGAAGAGGAACAACAGTGGCAGCATGTGGTTGGTGGTGGTGGTGAGTGTGATGGTGGTGTGGTTATTGGTGTTAAGTAATGTGCTAGTGTTGTATCATGATTTGGATGTGGTATGTATGGTGATGGTTGTTATGACTGTGGGTGTAGTGGTTTGTGTGGTATGGATGGTGGAGGTGGTGAGTTGTTATGGTGAATTATGTGTGTATTATAATATATATAATAATAAATATATATATATATATATATATATATTATATATATTATATATATATATTATATATATATATATATATATATTATATATATATATATATATATATATATATATATATATATATATATATATATAGGTATACTTTTTCTTCCAACAAAATGGCCGTATCCAACCAAGGCAGGGTGACCTAAAAAGAACAAGGAAAAATTTTTTTTCTTTTTTTTCCCTTTTTAAATTTTTTGTAAGTATACCCCGGAAAGGGGGTTTTCTACCCCTTCCCCCAGCAATTTTTTTCACCCTTTTCTTACGACCCCACATGGCTTACTGAGAAAAAAAAATTTTGTTTCCCCTTCCCCATGGGGAAAAAGGAAAAAAAGAACAAGAACATTTAAAAAAATAAAAAAAACTCCATCATGTAAAAAAAATTCCCGGGTTTCCATTTTTCTGTTTTTTACAAATCAAATTGGTTTGGATTGTAATACCCCTTCCCTTTAGTGGTTTCGGTTCCCACCAAACCCAAATTTCCAAGGGGTTTTTTTTTTTTTAACAAGAAGTCCCGGCTGTCTCCTTCCGAGGCGGGGGGACCCAAAAAGAAAGAAAATCCCCAAAAAGAAAAAAACTTCTTATCCCCTCTTCAACTTTTTCCCCCCTCATCACACATAATCAATGTTTTGCAGAGGTTTTCTCAGAAAACAACAGATTTGAAGCATATACGTATAAAAATACACACATATTTCCCAAACCCAAACTGGCCCAATTAAACCCGCCCCCCTCCTTTAGGGGTTTCAGGGGATTGTACACCCCTTCCCGGACTCAAAATCCGGGTATATAAAAATAACCCGGTTTTCCCCGAAACCCTTCCCCTAAATATCACCCTGCTCCCACTCCAACAGATCGTCAGGTCCCCAAAAACCCTTATCTCCATTTTACTCCTATCGAACAAAGCAATGCCAAAGGCCTGCTGGACCTTGAAGGCCCTCGCCCCACAAAAACCCCCTTAAACCCCTTCCCTTCCATTAAAAACTACAATGGGGTTATATAGGGGTGGAAAAAAATAAAAAAAACTTAGAGTTGGGGAAAATCCTTTTTGGAGGGAAAAAGGGGGGGTAGGGGTCGGCCTTTGGAAAGGTTGGAAGGGGGGGGGGCAAGCATGCAGAGCGTGTTTTTGATAGGAGCGAATAGAGACAAATTTTTTTTTAGGGCCTGACCCTGCTGTTGGAGTGGGGAGCAAGGTATTTTAACATTTATGAAGGGGGTCAGGAAAACTGGGAAATGGGACTTGAGTCCTGGAGATGGGAAATCCCGGCAAGCACCCCCTGAAAGGGGGGTGACTGGGAGGACAGTGATAGAGTGAAAGATGATAAAATTTTTTTTTCCCTTTTGGGGGGGCCCCCCTGCTTTGGGAGAAAAAGGGCTGATGTGTTAAAAAAAAAATAATAAAGTGTATAAAAATTTTTTTTACAAATCGGCCCTATCCCACTGAAGGGCCGGGGGGGGGGGAACGCCAAAAAAAAAAAGAAAAATGAAAGTTTCTCTTTATAAAATTAGTAAAAGTATACTTTGGGGAAGGGGGACCAGCCCCTATTTTGGCATTTTAAGGGCCCCCCTTTTCGACATGCATGGGTCACAGAGGGAAAAATTTTGTTCCCCCTTCCCCCGGGGGGAAAAAGAAAAAAATTACAAGAACAAGAAAAATAGCAAATATAGAAGAAAAACCCCCGAGGAGTGTGTTAAATATCTTTTAAAATGCCCTTTTAGTTGACCTAAAATTAAGTAGAAATAGCCCAAAACTATCTGAAAATCTTGCATGTTTATGAAAACCCAAAAAAAGACACCAAACAAAACCCTACTTCTGTAAAAAAAAAAACCCGGTTTTTTCCCTTACACAAATCGCTTGGTAAGGGTTAGTAAAAAAACCTTTCTTTTTGTTTGGGAGTTGTCAACCCAAAATAAATACCTAGGAGATAGATAGATATATATAAAATACATAAGTAAAACCCAATTTTTTTTTTTCAACAAAACCGGCCCCCTTTTCCCACCGGGCCCGGGTTTGGGCCCCAAAAAGAAAAAAGGAAGTTTCCTTTATAAATTTAGTAATTTTAACAGAAGGGGTTACTAGCCCCCCGGGTCCCCCCGGCCCTTTAAAATCGCCCTCCCTTTCAACACCATAGCTTACGGAGGAAAATTTTTGTTCCCCTTCCCCCCTGGAAAATAAAAGGAAAAAAAACGGAAAAAAGTAAGAAAAATAGAAAAAACCCCCGGGGGGGGTTTTAAAAAATAAGGGTTGAAAATGGACATTTAAAGTGGTGGTTCCCCAAATTTTAAAAATAAAAAGTGAAATGTACCCCGAAACCTTTCCTGTTCAAGAGCAGAAAAAAGGAACCAGGCCCAAACCAAACCATCAAAGAAAACCAAATTTCAGGGTTTTGTTTTGCAACCCCACTTTTCCCGGGCGGTAATTTCCCCCCGCTTTGGGGAATTGCTTACCAACCTACTACCCACCCTAAAAAATAAAAAAATAACAGTGGTCCCCCCAAAAATCGCCCATAATCCGTTCCGGGAAATGGGACTTTTTATCGAAATGGGAACGATTTTCGAAAACAATTTTTTTCTCCCCCCTAAAAAAAAAGTTTAAATTTTCCCAATTTAAAATTTCCTTCCAACCCCCCAAAGTTTTCAACAACACTTTTTTTTTTTAAACCCAAATTTATAGATTTTAATTTCCTGGCCAAAAAAAAGAAAGAACATTCAAAAATACAGTTACCTTTTAAATTTAAAGGCCCGTTTTTGGGTTGGGTTGGAAAACCCGGGGA